TGTCCCATTGTCCACGCCATTTCAGATATACATACTCTGGACGCTTCGCGTACCCCCACCAGTCCAGCCATAGAACACGCTTTGGCGAGATGCCTTGATCGCGGGATAGTAGCAGCATGCAGCGCAGCATCATCACAACGATGGTCCCGAGTGGGCCACAAGAGGGGCGCACGGCCCTGGGGGTTGGGCTCCAGGAAGGCAACCAGGCGCTTGAGGACGAACCGCATGCCGCTTGGTCGGTGCGCCCGTGATACGTGCCCGATAGGTCGACGGAATCGATAGGGGCCAGCGGTTTGCGTTTCGAACGGGGCCCACGACGGCGCCAAGAGAACCTACGAGAGTTCCAATTATGTTTAGTGGGCGGGTACGGACGCTATGGGTATCCAGAATCTGATACATACATGCTCGAAATGCATCACCTGGTATACAGTGTAGAGGGGCGCCCTGGGCATCTTAAGGCTCGCGCTCGCTTGGAGCCCCACGGCAGCGCTGTTATGGTGCTGGTGTCACCGTGACGGCAGCTGCGTCTAACAATGGTAGACGGCAGCTTTGGGTGTCTTGCTGTCTTGCGTATCATGCCTGTGAATACCACACTTAAGATGCACGGTTTGGCCATGCTACATATCGCCCTGCCCCCAACCACGCATTGCTCGTCTCCGAAACCTCATGCCCACGTTTGGCAGCAATGTGCCCGCATTGTTTTTACACCACGACCTACTGACTTCAAACAGTGTCCTCCCGAGCTCAGTCCGTGGCCTTCGTCGCGATCAGGCCTTCAGAACGTGTCCTCCCAAACTCAGCCCGCGGCCGTCGTCGCGATCATAACCGCGACCTAATGCCTTCAAACAATGTCCCCTCAAACTCAGCCCGCGGCCGTCGTCGCGATCATAATCCTGACCTAATGCCTTCAAAATGTGTCCGCTCAAGCTCAGTCCGTGGCCTTCGTCGCGATCGTAACCGCGACCGGATGCCTTCAAGCAGTGCCCCCCCAATCTCAGTCCGTGGCCGTCGTCCGAACTGATCTGCTCCGAGGGGGGCTCACGCCGACGTGCCGACGTTTCCGCGCATGTTGCGGCGGCATTCAACATCTGTGGGCGCGCGCCTAGTACATTCCTACGGTCGCACGGGGATGTGCACCCCACGGTCGCGCACAACCGCAAGGGGGCACATCCCAATGCCCGTGGAGGAGCGACTCCCCACGCGACTGCATGGAGACACCTCCCTACGCCTGCGAGGGGGGGTGCTCCCCCACGCATGCGTAGGGAGGTGCCTCCCCACGGGCGTGGGGGGGCCACGCGTCTAACCTGGCAGACATGCGCGATGCTTTCGTGGGGGGTGCACATGTTAGGTGGCGCATATTGTGGTGCGGAGCTGGCTCCCTCTTCTTCCTGAGGACTCGAGGACCTCCCTTCGTCCCAAGCAAGAAGTCCTCGGCCTCCTCCTTGAAAGCGCGCTAGGCTGCTAGGACTAAGGTAGTTCGCTCCTTTCGAGCCCCCCGTTCAGCAGCTTCGGTTCTCGGCCGCGCGGGGCAGCCGACGCGCGCGGTTCTACCCCCGGCAACTTTCGGTTCCCGACCGCACGGGGCAGCTGCGGCATCGGAGACCGAAAACCGATGTTAGACGCTCACGCCTCGACTGCTCCGCGCAGTCGGGAATCGAAAGCTCCTGTGGTATAATCTGACAAGACGTGGGAGCTCCGTGCCACACGATGTGCCACCTAACAACCGTGGGCGGCGACGGCTGCGGCGACGGCGGCGGCGACGACGACGGCGCCGGGCCGGCAGTGGCGCGACGATGGCGACGGCGCTGACGACGACAGGCGTGCGCCTCCACCCCTCCAGGACTCAGTTACCAACGCTGGTGGATGCGTTCAACGCGTTCACTATCTCTACGAGCTTCAGTGGGATTGGGGCGCCCGAGACGGCCCTGTGCCAATTGCACGCTGCCCTCGCGCGCCGTGGCGGCGCAGATTATATTGTCGAGGTTCCGCGGTTGCTGCATACTATAGAATGGACGCCCGATTGCATGGAAGAGTTGACGCACCACCCACTAGGGGTGTACAGCGATGCGCGTCACTTTGCCGACATCGCCTCTTTCTTCGTAATTGCCCGCTCTCGCCTCAGATGTCGCGCTCGCCAAGCAGCGCGCAGCACCATCCATGATCGTGCAACTTCTAGGTCGGTCAGTCAAGAGCGGGAAATCGATGCGCAGAACGGGGTGGTGTTTCAAGCATAACCAGGAGTGCTGCCGTCAGACGGCCCGATGCCATTGTGCCGGCGCGTCTTGTATAGATTTTGCGCTGATCGGCGATCAAGGCGCCGTAGCAGGTGCCACCGTTGTGTGCCTCATGGCCTGGATAGGCCTACGCCGGCTCCTACAAGAACCGATAGTTTTGCAGGAGAACGTACCTAATTTCCTGCATCAGATATTATTTGACTTCCTAGGAGACTTGTACCATATTTTTGTGGACGCAACTGTTGACTCGTACGATTTCGGGTTCCCTACGCGCAGAGTCCGCAAATATACGCTGCTGCTCAGCAAGAAGAAGACGACAGTTCCCTCTGAGAGCCTGCTGCGCTTCATGCAGCGACTTCACAGGCCGTGCCACATCGACTACACGTCGTTCGCTGTGTCAGGGCCATCTGGGCTTCGATCTGAGCTCGAGTGGGCCTTGAATCGGAGGTACGTCCAAGCGAGGCGTGCCAATTTCCCACCTGTCCCCCTCGACGCCCCAGAGCAGCTCGACTTCAGGGAGGCGTTGACCTCTACCGAACTCGAGTGGCTCGACTACTACGAGACTAGGTGGCCCGGCCGCGCGTGCCAGCTCAACCAGAACCCATGCGCCGATCGTCAGATGTTCTCTCGGCCCCACGGGTCGCTGCATACGCTCATCGCGAATTCGGGCCTCATTTGGGCCGGCGGCCAACCCGGCCGATGGTTCACGCCAGGCGAGCTACTTTACAGCCAGGCTTTCCCTGTGTGGCGGTGTTCCTGCGTGGCCCGCGACGGCAGGCTCGGCGGTCATCTGTGCCCCTTCGATGCAGAGCGCGACGGCCGCGGCAGGACTGCTGTCATCGCCCAGGCTGGCAATGCAATGCACGTCGCAGTGGTGGGCGGTGCGCTCCTGTATTGTGTAGCGTGCGTGCCAATCGCCCCATCGGAGACAAGCATGCGCGCGCTGCAACGGTTCGCCCGCGTTGCAAGGCGATATCATTGATTGCTTGTGGGAATCATGTCGCCAACTGTCCTACACTGGGGGTGGTAGGAGCGGCTGCCGTTCAGGAGTCGCGCGCGGGATGAGGCGGCGACGAGGCAGGAGGAAAGGGGGCGGGTGGATGGATGTCGGGATGTAGGGAGGAGGGGTGAATGGGGATGGAGGGTGGTAGCTGATCAACTATCATATTGCATGTGCTCTGGGGACCTGGTGTGCTGTGTGATAGATACAGCCCCCCCTGGCCCCGTGGCCCCGAGAGGGCGACGACGCCGTCGCGTCCGCCGCGCAGCAGCATCGCTGGCTGGCCTGCGGGCCCAAAACGCTTCCCCCTGTCTCGGTTCCTCCTTCTCCCTTTTCCCCCTCCTCTGTTGTTCCCTTCCTCTCGCTCCTCTTCCCATCCGTCCTCTCCCCCCTCCCGATGCTGGGCGATGTCAGCGCTATGCTGCAACGTCGGCACTGTCTCGTGAACTGCGTGGGGACACCCTGGCACCCTCCGCCCACATCCATTCCCCCAGGCCGCTCGCAGCCATTGCTTTGTCAGGCACTGCAGGCGCCGCCGCGTCGCTTCGACCTGTCCCTCAGCTTCGCTGCGAGACTTACGCTTCAGCGATGTCCGACGGCTTGGGTGCGGCGGCTGCTTCGGCAGCGGCGACTGAGCAGCAGCCGCTGTAGCAGCCGCAGCTGGCTCCGTCTGCTCCGATCCCGCCGGCGCCGTCGCCGACTGGCGGACCGCCTGTTGGCCCTGTCGAGGAGACGCCGATGGCGAGTCTGCCGCCTCCTCCAGGCGCTAGCCCTGCCGCCCCCAAACTGTCTCGTGAACTGCGTGGGGACACCCTGGCACCCTCCGCCCACATCCATTCCCCCAGGCCGCTCGCAGCCATTGCTTTGTCAGGCACTGCAGGCGCTGCCGCGTCGCTTCGACCTGTCCCTCAGCTTCGCTGCGAGACTTACGCTTCAGCGATGTCCGACGGCTTGGGTGCGGCGGCTGCTTCGGCAGCGGCGACTGAGCAGCAGCCGCTGCAGCAGCCGCAGCTGGCTCCGTCTGCTCCGATCCCGCCGGCGCCGTCGCCGACTGGCGGACCGCCTGTTGGCCCTGTCGAGGAGACGCCGATAGCGAGTCTGCCGCCTCCTCCAGGCGCTAGCCCTGCCGCCCCCAAGCACGTGCTGGCGCCATCGGCAGGCGATGGACACGGCAAGCAGGCGATGGCTGCGGCTGCGGCTGGCCCGGCTCCGCCTCCTACTACAGTGGCTGGGGGCTCCCAGATGACGCCCGCAGAGCAGGCGATGCAGGTGCTCTACGACGAGTCCCTTACCTTTGAAGAGCGACTGGGCAAGCTCCACGGGTCGATGCGCTTGAATGGGATCATGCGATGCTTCGCCGAGAATGGGAAGAAGACTGCGCCGTGGTTTTCCAGGGACTCGTCGGGCAAGTGGCAGGGGAGTATCATCACCCACCCCCTGAACACTCGGCGTCACCCGGCGCGTCGACCAGTCGAATCAGGACCGCCAATCATGGCGCGCGCAACGCCCGACCCACGACCAGAACTCAACGCCCCAATTCGGTTGTGGGTTCGGCGCTGCGCGTGGCATGGTTGGGTCTAGAGTTGGATGGTCGTCGTCGCCGCTGAAGGCTATTCAGCAGAAGTACAAGAAAAGCTTCCTCGAGAAAGGAGTCAGCAAGGGGGTCGGAGGGGGGCCCGTGGTTGGTGCACAGCGAGAACGACACGTTCCCTCTTTACGCTATTACATGGGGCACGAGAACCAGAGCCTTCCACGACGCGGTGAAGGAGACAGCGGTCACGAAGCACGCCGACGGATCGATTGCCAAGTTCAGCAACCCCTTCATCCAGGATTCCTGTGCGAGGGGCCTGCCCGACTGCGCCCTGTTGAGCTGGAGGGTCCCAGTAAATTTCTTGAAGTGGATGCGTGATTTTCATAATCTGTTTCAGGATGGCGCCACTTACTCATTCTTGGAGCTCCTGAGCGAGATTCCCGACATTGAAGCTGCCTGGGCCACGTACAAGCAGAAGAGAGGCATTACTGCGAGAATGGGCGCTGGGCGCATGCGTGATGGTGACGATGATTCCAGCAAGTCGCACCAGCAGCTCTACTGGGACTTCGTCAAGTGCAACTGCGAGGGGAAGCTGGCGTCCTGGCGGTTCTACGACATCGCGAAAGCGCTGGTCCATCACATGAAGAAGAACGAAGTGATGGAGAGATCCCCCCTCTCCTCCGCCTCCCTCCTCCTCCTCCTCCTCATCCTCCTGATCCTTCCCGGGCCAGGGCTCTAGCCAGGTTCATCCGCTCCTTTCCTCGTCCTCCTCCTCCTCCTGACTCCTTCCCCATCCTCCTCCTGCTCCTCCTCCTCCTCCTCCTCCTCCCCTTCCTCCTCCTTCTCCTCCTCCTCTCCCCCTCCTCCTTCTCCTCTCTCCCTCCTCCTCCTCCTCTCCCTCCTCCTCCTCCTCCGCCCCCTCCTCCTCCTCTCCCTCCCCGCCATCCTCCTCCCCCTCGGCCTCCTTTTGCCAACCAGCCAGGATGAGTTCATGGAGCTCGCTTGGGCGCGCCTCGATTGGTTGGAGCCAGGTCTGACGACGGAGACAGTCGTTCCGATGCTGCGTTCGCGGGCTGCGATGCTCGCCTCGGGGCTTGCGAGCATGGAATCTCGCTTGAACCTGAAGGGCGACGTGCCGATGGTCATGAAGGCGCTTTTGATGGAAGGCTTCGAGCCGTGCGCCCTGTTGGTCGACGGGCAGGGCACCAGGGCTCCGCAGAAGGACCCTTGGATCTTCAACAGGACGAGAAGGCGAATACCGATTTGATGAGGAGGATCTTCCAAGAGATGACAGACAGCAAGGTCTTCAAAGACACTACTGGGAAGGTCCTTTCGCTCGATCGGAAGGCGAAGAAGCCGAAGAAGGGATGCGAGGCCCCGTCGTGGCCGCCACCGCCTGCCGAGGTTCTCAGGCCTACGATTACCTGCAGCAGGACTGGGACTGGGCGCCCAGCCCGCCGGGTGGATGATCTGCTGGCGTGCCTCAAGTACGGCCTCGACGTCGCGCGGCGCGATGGCGCGTTTGCTGCAGTGCCGGCGCACGTGAAGCTCGCGGTCGCGTGCAGGGTCGTCGGCATCGGTTTTCAATTATGTTGCAATACCTCCGTCGTGGTGAACAGCCGCACGTACGATTCGTGGTCGAAGCTGAGGGAGGTGCTCGGTGACATGATTATCCAGTCGCACGTCGTGCACATCGAGCTGGCGGGGTCTTCGGAGAGCTCTGGCGACCCTGCCGACGAGATCTTGCGCAGAGTGCTGGCCATCACTGGGTGTGATGAGGATTCGGCGGTCTCGGATGACAGTATTCAATCGTTCTTGGCGGGCCCAGGCGCCTCCTCGGGCATGGTTGAGATCTTCGCCGCCTACGGCCCCGCGCAGCCTCTGACCCTGAGCCATGAGTTTATTGCGCTGCAGGCGAACGCCTACGAGGCCCTGAATGCGGCGAAGGTCGGTGACAGCATCTCCCTCGACTCTGCCCTGACGGTGATCATTCACTGCGTGGGCAAGGTCTTCCTTGTCGAGTGGGCGCACTTCTGGCTGCTGGTGTGCGAGTGCGTGGCACAGACGCAATCGCTTCCCGCTTGTGCGGTGGATGTGTTCGGCTCCGCAGAAGCAGTCGAAGCGTTGCTGGGAGTGTGCGCCAAGTACGTCATCGGCCTGCTGCTCAACTTGTGCACGGCTGCAGACGCGATCAAGCTGGAGGGTCCGAACATGGAGATCGCGTCCCAGCTCCTCCGCAACCAGAAGGTCGTCGATGTACTCACCGAAGTGGACGTCGCATGCCAGAACTCGCTCTCGCAGTGGACCACCATGTGGACGAAGTGCATCATGCTGCTCAGCGGCTACTCCGGGGCAACCGGCGGCCTGAAGTCGAACGAGCCAGTCACCGAGCTCTGTGGCAAGGTCCATGAGCTGCGGCCTGCGGACACCGAGAAAGTCAAGGAGGCGGCCGACGTCGAGGCGACACCTGCTGCTGGTGCAGCGGCCAGCGAAGCGCTGGCGTTGATACTTGCTGGTGCTGCGGAGTCTGCTCATGAGATCGCAGAGACGAGTCTGATGAAATATTCTGCGATCTGGGGCTTGCGCGATCCTGCTGGGAACGCGATCCATCTCTTCCGCGTCCAGAAGATCTTGGGGGCCAAGATCTGGGAGGCCGCGGGGCTCCCGAGCCGCGAGTCTATCGCCGCTGACGTTTCGGAGAAGCCCACTCGCTTGCATGCGCCGCCGGGGTGCGCGGCTGGCAAGTTGGAGTTGAGCTTCGGGGGCCAGGTGGTCTGCGCTCCGCCGAAATCTTCGACCAGGCACTTCAAGGTAGGACTGGCAGGGGAATGAATCAAGGATGATATTATGATATAGTGGGTCGGATGGGGGGCGAGGAGGAGGATGCGCAGGAGGAGGGGGGGGGGGAGGACGAGGAGTGACGAGGATGGGGGGCGGAGGAGGAGGAGGAGGAGGAGGAGGGAGGAGGGGGGGGATCAGATCAGAAGGGTACGCATGATCTCTACCTCAGGCCTCTGGTTATATACTACCTCAGGCCTCTGATGGCCAGAGTTTCGGCCCTTAGCCTTCGGGCCTAAACGCAAGAAGGGCGCTGATGAAGATATCGAGTATGAGAGGGCAAGTCGCTATACATATATATATATGAGAGAGAGAGAGATAGAGAGAGAGAGAGAGAGAGAGAGAGAGAGAGAGAGAGAGAGAGAGAAGAGAGAGAGAGAGAGAGAGAGAGAGAGAGAGAGAGAGAGAGAGAGAGAGAGAGAGAGAGAGAGAGAGAGAGAGAGAGAGAGAGAGAGAGAGAGAGAGAGAGAGAGAGAGAGAGAGAGAGAGGGAGAGAGAGAGATATATATATATATATATAGAGAGAGAGATATACACATAAGAAGAAGAAGAAAAAGAAGAGAAAAACAATAAAACAAACAAAAAAAAGACACGAGAGGGAGCGAGATGAGGAAAGATGATGGCTGATGTCGTTCTCAGGTTGCCAGTGTCTGGGGCGTTGACCTCTTCGTCGTGCCTGGCGCGCGCTCGTCCCTGACTGGCGAGTGCCCCAGCCCGGCGTGGCTCGCGGGCGTGACCAACGAGAATGAGGACGCGAACATGCAGCTGGAGAGCCGCGAGGTCACCGTGTCCATCGACCTTCGCGACCTCGGGGAGATTCGGGGGTCCACTGTCGTCGACCTCGAGGACGGGGTTTCGGTCCCGCCCGAGTCGAGGCCGCAGAGCCGCGAAGTCCTCGACGTTGCCCTGTCGGTCCCTGTGCTCGCCCTGACGAAGGATCTCAACCAGAGCACGGTGCTGAAGTACTTCGTCGACAAGATGCGCCGCGGGGCCCCGGCCGCCGAGGGCGCCGACGGGCTGGCGGGGGGCCAGGGCCCGACGGCGCTGGCGGTCAAGCGCCGCCTGCCGGCGATCAAGGACGCAGAGTCGGGCACGAGCGCGAGCGCAGGCTCGAGCTCTTCGGGCTCGCGCCCACGCCAGCAGCCCCAGCAGTCAGGCGGCGGCATCAGTGCCGCCGATGCGTCGAGCATCAGGCACTTGCTCAGGTAGATCTCAGTAGGATCCAGCCATCACGAGGGGCGCGTGGCTGACTAGCTGAACTCCCCCTCCTGCCGTTCTCGTCCCTGTAGTAGCCCTCGCCCTCGTCCTTGTCTTCCCCTTCCTCGCCGTTTTCTTCTTCCTCCTCCTCCTCCCTCGTCCTCCTCGTCGCCCCTCCCCTTCTTTTCCTCCCCCCTCTCATCGTTCCCTCGCTCGCCCCCTCTTTTTCATTCTAGCGAGCGGCAGTGCTGCAGATCAGTAGATTTGATTTGAGGGTTGCTTCTTTGCCTTCGCTGCGCCTTCAGTAGGACGCAGAAGACGGGGACTCAATATCAATGTGGTGCGTGCTATGTTTTACATGTATATATATACATATATACACATGGTTATACATCATGCATACGCACGGGTGGACTGTCCCATTGAAGGCGGTGAATGTCAAGCAAGTTGCACCTTGTCGTTGGCAAGTTGCGCGCGTCGCAGGCGAGAGGGAGTCGCGAAGCGTGGTCGTGCGCGGTCGGGGGCAGCATGACTGCTGCGCCCGATGCTTTCTAGACGCACGGGGATAGAGGCGGATAGAGGAGGTGCGCGCCCCCTAGCAGGGGCTCTTTTCAGGCGCAGTCGTGCAGTCCCCTTGCCTGCGCGTGCCCCTCCACCAATCACTTCCCTACCCCTTGATCTTCCCTTCCTACTCTACTGCTGCGCGACGTTGCCCCTCGCGGCCCCTCGCGCGCGCCTGGCGCGCCTCCAAATTCGCTATCGGTCGGGATCGGGCCATTGAAAACACCAGCGACTACGTCTTCTTCCACTCCTCCATCCCTGCCTTTCACTTCCTCGCCTCCTCCCGCGCCCCTCTCGTCCTCGGGCCTCCTCCTTCCTGACAGGGCTTGCGAGTGCAACGGCACAGGCAGAACGGATGCGGTCGGTTTGGTGCCCAATCCGTTCCACGTGCGGTTCGGCGGATGGCGCCAACATAGCTCGCGGCAGCCCTAAGAGGACCCCCCAACACCCCAAGGTACCAACCCCATAACACGCGACGTTCCTGGCCACTTGATCACAGTCAGCCCGCGTAGCAAGGATGGGCAACATTCCCAGGGGCCCCAGGGGGCCCCAAATCTTCGGCCCATCCCTGGCCAGTTTCGTTGGCCGCGCCCCGCTCAAAAGCATCGAAGTGGGCGTCCAAGGCCCCTGCGCCCTCATCGCGTATCCTTATCATGCGGGCCGACCTCATCTCCCCCTCGGACCCCCCCCGCGGCCCGCCCGAGGTGCCTCGGGCGACCGCCGCGACGCCAGGGGGGCGCTGGCGCCGTCCGAGCCCAGAAAGGGCGCGGCGCGCGTGCGGCGGCGTCGTCGCCCTCGGCGGCCTCGTCGTCGTCGTCGTCGTCGTCGTCGTCGTCGTCGTCGGCCGTCCGTCGTCGTCGTCGTCGTCGTCGTCGAGTCGTCGGCCGCCCGTCGTCGTCGTCGTCGTCGTCGTCGTCGTCGTCGTCGTCGTCGTAGTTCGAGTCAACGCGTCGTCGCCGTCGGTCGTCCGTCGTCGTTGTCGTCGTCGTCGTCGCCATCGACGCGTCGTCGTCGTCGCTCGTCCGTCGTCGGGCCGTCAGGGTCGGAGTCGCCGTCGAGTCGTCGGTCGTCGTCGTCGTCGTCGTCGGGCAGTCAATTCGCACAGTGAGGATGGGCAACCTTCCCAAGCATCCTTGCCATCTCTGTCCATATTTGGCCGCTGTCGTTGGCCTTCTTCCGCTCGAATAGCGTCGAGATGGCAGTCCAAGGCCCTTGCGTCCTTATCGCGCATCCTTACTATGCTGGTTGAGAGTCGTCGTCATCGTCGTCGTCGTCATCATCGCCGTTGCCGCTGCCCCCGCCGCCGTAGACAGGAACTTCCGTTGTGTTTGCTTCCGTGTCTGGGCCGTCTGTTGAGTTCCCCGTCGCCGCGGCTGGATTCGTCGCGAACGCTGGCGAACGCTAGCTAGGACAAGCGGCCAGGTCAGGCCCCGCGAGGGGCCCAGGCATCGATTCTGGGCGGAGGAGGAGAAAAGGATGACGAGGGCACTGGAGGAATATAGGAGGAGGTAGGGTGATGATGATGATGCTGATCGCGGTGATGCTGGCGATGTGAACGATGTGACGTAATCACACAGGCCCGTAGGGTGCTCTCTCGGGGCGCCTTCGAACAGCTCAAGACGCGCCCCCCAGGCTTCACCCAGGATCAGGATTTGACCCTCCCTACTCCTTCCTTCAATCTCACCTTTCTCCTCTTCCCCCTTCCTCTTTGCCTTCCTGGCTGCCCTCTTCCGTCCATCTCTCATGCTTCCCTTCCATGCTCTTTCATGTTCCTCCTCATCTCCCTTCCCATCTCATTTCTCTTCCCTCCCACCTCTCTCCTCTCCCCTCTCACTCTCTTTCCTACTCGCTCCCTATTCCTTCTATCTCTCATGGTCTCTTCCCTACTCAATCCTTTATCTCCTCATCTCCCTTCCCATCACTCCTATCTCTTCTTCCAACGCTGATGCTGATTTTCCTCACTTTTTCCGTTCCTCCTCTCTCTTCATCTCTCATCCCTCCTCGTCCTCGCTCCTCCATCCGGCCGCGCTTCACGATTTTAGCTGCTAAGCGAGTGGTGGTTTCACGCGGGTGGAAGGCTGCTCCCCTACAGCGCGGGGCGCCGCGCACAGTCGGCCGCTAGTCGGCCCGCTGCTGGCGATTACACGTGACTTTTGTTCAGCGTGCCCTCCCCTCCCTCCCCCTCGCCCTCGTCTTCCCCCTCGTCATCCTTGCCCCTCTCCCCGGCCGCGCTTTAAGGTTTCAGCGGCTACGCGAGTGACGTTTTTGCACGGATGGAGGGCTGCTCTTTTACAGCGTGGAGCTGCCTGGGCATCCAGCTTGATGGCGTGAGCGGAGGCTTGACTGTCTCGTCTTGTCCTCGCCCTCCCCCCTCGCCGTCCCGGCCGCCCTTCCCGACTTCAGGGGCAATGCGAGCTGCTCCCGATCATGTTTGTGATGCGACCTCTGGCCTCCGCCTCATTCCTCGCGCCCCCGCCCCCCCCCCCCGTGCTGGCCTTGTCTCATGATTTTTAGTGGCACTGCGAGCGGCTCACATGCTTGGGCCAGGGGGGCGCTCGCCCGCAAGCATCTGAGTTTTAAGACCTCCTGGCGCACATGAAAGATCCATTTGAATTTGAACCAATGCGTAAAACATCCTCCTCCTCCTCTCGCCTCTTTCGTGCTGATCGGTATCCCTCGCGCCCTCCTTAATCGCATCTCGTCTTTTCCTCCCCTCTTACTACCCCCTCGCCCACTCACCAACGCTCTTGCTCTTTCACCTACTCCCTCCTCTCATCCGCATCTCCCGCCGCGCAGAGCCGGTCTCCTCCGCAGATCTGTCGTTTACAGAAGATGGATGCACTGCAATGCGATGCGATCTCGTTCGTTGCTGCAGCTGGCCGGCAGCCAGCAACTACTGGCCAGAGGACGCGCGAGACGTAATTGAGCTCCCCCTGCCTGCGCCCCTGGCGGCTGCTACCTTGAACATTGCACAGCGGGCACAAGCAGGGGGGAGGGCTTCCGGGTGGCCGGCGGGACGGGCCGAAGCGCCAACAAACAGCCACCCAACAACCTCCGTGCATTTTTTCATAGAAAAAACAGCAATTGATGACACGTTTTAGAACAGTAAATTCTCTGATGGCACAATTAAGGCCCATGTGGGACTTTGATAGAACACTTTGCATTTTAATTGCATCATGGTGATGATTAGTTTGTATGGGATGCCCATGGAACTTTGCAACTTCGGTTCCTGAGCGCCCCGAGACTTGCACCATTACCCCACATCTTCATGATTAACTTTCAATGCGAATGATGCGCTCCTTCGAAATCGTTGCGCGAAAAAAGTTGGCGTTTTTTTTTTGCCGCCATGGACTGGGGCATCTACAAGCCGGCGAAGCGCTTGAGGCCTGGGCCTGCTGCGGGAGGCTGCGAGCCCGAGGGCGGCGGGCGACTGCTGCGCCAGAGGCGCCTGGCGCCGACGCCCACGAGGGCACCGCCCAGCGGCATCCCATGGGCGCCGCCCAGCGGCATCCATGTGCCGCCGCCGCGCCGTCGCAGCCCACCGACGACAGCGCCGACGCCGGCCGCTGAAGCACTGCGATGGGCGCTGCGACGCCAGAGCGGCGACCAGAGCACCGACCGGACCGCCGACAAGAGCGCCGACCAGACCGCCGACCAGAACACTGGCGCCAACACCAAGCCCGGCGCCTACGCCTTGAGCTCGCGCGGACCGAGGCCCCCTCCTGGGCCGCCACCAACGCACCTGCGCACCGAACAGGGCGCCGACCAGAGCACCGACCAGGGCGCCGGCCAGAGCGACGACAAGAGCGCCGACCACAGCGACGACCAGGGCGCCGACCAGACCGCCGACCAGAGCGACGACCAGGACGCCGACCAGACCGCCCTGAGCTCGCGCGGCCCGCGGCCGCCTCTCGGGCCGCCACCGGCGCACCTGCGCGCCGAATAAGGCGCCGACCAGAGCACCTTCGAGGGCGCCGGCCAGAGCGACGACAAGAGCGCCGACCAGAGCGACGACCAGGGCGCCGACCAGACCGCCGACCAGAGCGACGACCAGGACGCCGACCAGACCGCCCTGAGCTCGCGCGGCCCGAGGCCGCCTCCTGGGCCGCCACCGGCGCACCTGCGCGCCGAACAAGGCGCCGACCAGAGCACCTTCGAGGGCGCCGGCCAGAGCGACGACAAGAGCGCCGTCCAGAGCGACGACCAGGGCGCCGACCAGACCGCCGACCAGAGCGACGACCAGGACGCCGACCAGACCGCCCTGAGCTCGCGCGGCCCGAGGCCGCCTCCTGGGCCGCCACCGGCACACCTGCGCGCCGAACAAGGCGCCGACCAGAGCACCTTCGAGGGCGCCGGCCAGAGCGACGACAAGAGCGCCGACCAGAGCGACGACCAGGGCGCCGACCAGACCGCCGACCAGAGCGACGACCAGGACGCCGACCAGACCGCCCTGAGCTCGCGCGGTCCGAGGCCGCCTCCCGGGCCGCCACCGGCACGCCTGCTCGCCGAACAAGGCGCCGACCAGAGCGCCTTCGAGGGCGCCGGCCAGAGCGACGACAATAAGAGCGCCGACCAGAGCGACGACCAGGGCGCCGACCAGACCGCCGACCAGAGCGACGACCAGGGCGCCGACCAGACCGCCCTGAGCTCGCGCGGCCCGAGGCCGCCTCCTGGGCCGCCACCGGCACACCTGCGCGCCGAACAAGGCGCCGACCAGAGCGCCTTCGAGGGCGCCGGCCAGAGCGACGACAAGAGCGCCGACCAGAGCGACGACCAGGGCGCCGACCAGACCGCCGACCAGAGCGACGACCAGGACGCCGACCAAACCTCCCTGAGCTCGCGCGGCCCGAGGCCGCCTCCGGGCCCGCCACGGGCACACCTGCGCGCCGAACAAGGCGCCGACCAGAGCACCCTCGAGGGCGCCGGCCAGAGCGACGACAAGAGCGCCGTCCAGAGCGACGACCAGGGCGCCGACCAGACCGCCGACCAGAGCGACGACCAGGGCGCCGACCAGACCGCCCAGGGCTCGCGCGGCCCGAGGCCGCCTCCTGGACCGCCACCGGCACACCTGCGCGCCGAACAAGGCGCCGACCAGAGCACCTTCGAGGGCGCCGGCCAGAGCGACGACCAGGGCGCCGACCAGACCGCCCTGAGCTCGCGCGGCCCGAGGCCGCCTCCTGGGCCGCCACCGGCGCACCTGCGCGCCGAACAAGGCGCCGACCAGAGCACCTTCGAGGGCGCCGGCCAGAGCGACGACAAGAGCGCCGACCAGAGCGACGACCAGGGCGCCGACCAGACCGCCGACCAGAGCGACGACCAGGACGCCGACCAGACCGCCCTGAGCTCGCGCGGCCCGAGGCCGCCTGCAGGGCCGGCACCGCCGCGCCTGCTTCTGCAGCAGGCAGACTGCTAAGCGGGGCCCCCCTCCAAAAAATGACCAGAACAGCCCGGGGACTCCCAAGATGGCCCTAAGACAGCGCGCCGCCCCCTGGACACTCGCCTGAAACCCTTCTCGGGGAAAAACCGCCCGCCCCGGGAGGTCCCGTGAGGATTGGGAGTTTCTGGAAGGCACCGATAGATCCCCGGAGTTCTCAGGGGGCTCCACGAGCCCCCAGGAGGGCTGAGAAAGAGACAGAACATCACACCCCTAGCGGACATTTTCGCCCTTGCTCAACAAGGCTGACAAAGAAAGGAGAAGAACAAATAATACGGCATTAGATTTTTAGGGAGAATACACATATGATAAAGATAAGGGGGATATAGAAGAAGGAGATAGGATGGGGGAGATAAGAGGGAATGGCCCGCGCAGGTGGCCCGCCCACGGCGGGCGGGTTCGGCGGAGGCGCGCGCCCGATCCCCCAGATGCGGGGATGGCGGACCCCAAACCCAACCCGGGCCCCCGTACTTGGTGGGCGGTGGATCTAGAACCTCGGAAGTCACCAGGTCAAGACGGCCCAAGACGTCCGCGGGACACCTTAAGGGGGCCCCAGGAGACTTCCCAAGGAGTTCCAATAAGAAACTACCCCTCCGCACCTCTGGCCGCGTCTGCCAGCGAAGGGGAGAGGCGCGGGGGGCACGAACCCAAAAATCCTCATGTTGAGAGGGGCTGTCTTCTGACCTTTGGACGTCGCGCTGCCCCCCTTCTGCGGTCGGCCGGCAAGGGCGGGGGTCATTTTCCATTGCCCTTTTGCTTCGAGGCAGCGCCTGGACACCCCAATCCAGCTCTGATGCATCCCATTCTATTAGAGAGGGGGCCGGCGGCAGCGGGCGAGGCCCTTACGGATTTACAAATGTGGTATCTCGGGGCTCTCTTGGGGCGCCTCTTGGGGCTCTCTTGGGCCGTCTTGGCAGCCTCTTGTGGCACTTTTGGCCCATCTTGGCGCAAATCTATTGTATTTGTCAAGCGATTGCGGCCTCGGGAGGGGGGCTGATGCGCGCGTCGCAGCGCTGCGAGAGGGAGAGGAGTGGTACCTTAGAGTGCATATAAAACCCATCAAACCAGCACTTGACATTCTAGCCGGCCTCAACGTGCCAGGGGGCACGGTGGCTGATTATCGTTGTCATGATATTGGGCTCGGGCCATCTTTAGGCTCTGCGGGCTCGGCCATTCCTGGCGGCCGTCTTCCCGCGAGCAATGTCCGCCTCGCTGCATTCGTCGCGCCCGCCGCCTGATGTCGTGCATAGTGCCTCGCGCTGCCCCCATTGGTATTTTCTTGTCTTCATGGTGATCCACGTGATGTTCTCCTCGTGCGTCGACGGCCTCATCGCCGTGCTCCTGCTTGTGACGATTTGTTTTCCGCGTGGAAAGCTCGCGCGTCAGCAAACGTCGTGGGCGAGCAGAGGTTCCGACGCTTGAGGGGCAACGGCCGCTGCAGGCTTGGATGCGCGATTCGCCCGCGCAGGCAAGCCGGCGGCCCGCTCGAGGACGGCGATTTCACTGACGTACAGATCTTTATGAAGACGCCGCGGGGGCAAACGATCGCCCTGGTCTTGCATGACTGCCACGTCGTCGACGACGTCGAACTCATGATGCGAGATGCTGAAGGTGTGCCTGCTGATCGCCAGCGATTGATTCTCGGAGGGGAGCAGCTAGCTGGAGAGCGGGCTCTTCCTTTCGACATACAACATTCAGAACGGATCCGCGGTGCAGTTGGTTCTCCGTTTGCGGGGCGGCGTGTCTTCTAAACGCGCAGTCAAGAACATCATGACACCTGGCGTTGTTGACACTATTTGTTGGTTTAAGCAAGATGGGCAAATCGAAAAGGACCCGCCGAGATCAAGTTGCAAACGATGCCGGGGTTGCGGTGCACCTGCGCGCTTCAATCGCATAGTATTTCACAATATGGACCGGAGTACAAAGATAGCGATATCATTTTCTGGAAGAGGAACAGGATCTGCTTACTGAAGCTGCAAGGAGTGGTATTTATTTACACGCCTTAGAACTCCATCCGGGAAGTTTATTTATTTGTTCAAGATGTGGTGGCGCATTATGGATCAGGTGAACGCGCGCGCGCGCGCGCCGCTGTATCTACAGCGACAAACTGGGTGCGGTTTTGCGGAGATGTTTGAACAGAGAATGAACAGGACGATCCGCATGCGAATGTCTTTGTCACGTGGTGCCGATCATTGTATTGTTCTTCTTTGGTCTGAGTTGGAGCGCCAGCGCAGCGAAGCGCGACCAGTCGAGTCACGGCGCGCACGCTTGCAGATATGATGTCTCCAAGTGTACGTTCTTCGGACAGCGATGATCGAGAACGCTCGCCACATGATGGCCAATCACAAAACGCCATTCCTTCCAGACGCACTTTTTGAAATCGACATGAGCAGCTTCCTCTGGTCGCTCTCCGCACATTTGACTCGTCTTCTAAAGGCCACCAATTGCACACTGTATGTGCCAGTCTTCAATCCATACGGAACATGGGCCGAACGGGGCAACGCTTGGAAAGCTGGAAGGCGAGGGCCGGCCATCTTGGGCGAGCTTGCGCAGGTGGCGCTTCATTTCTCGGTATGGCCGGAGTCTGCGTTCGTATCGCCATGTTCGTTTGATGCGCACATGTGTAATCTTGTTTCAGGATTCCAGAGTTTCCGAGCCAAAGAAATATGGCTCGACGCCTTCGATCACATGACTAAGCACGCACATTATTACAAGTTGTCAAGTGACGAAGCCGATCGCATTAAGGCCGAAGTTTTGCTCGTGGGAGATCTCGGGCCAGGCCCAAGGCGATTGTTGCGCTGGTGCGCAGGCGCACTGGCGACCAAAGACGTACTTCGTGTTGGTGAGACGGAGGCGTCTGCCGACTTGCGCAACTCTCTCACGGAACACATCAGCACTCGTTTTGGCATCAATGGAGCTATTTCGGCATATCTTTTTTTTATGCGAAGTCTCGGAGGGTGTGAGCGACTTGCGTACTGCATTTGGGAGACCATATGAATCTCGCGGCAGCTTGACGCAATCTGATCTGCCAAGAATTCGGATGAATGAAGAACATGATTTAGGATTTGCTAGAATTGTAAAGAGAGATCAAATGATTTGCAACAAGTTTGTTGGTATATTGGATTTTCGCCGGACAAATTTCCCGGGGGGTGGCATCGCGCATGGCAGACACACCGGGTTTCCTTGCGAGCGCTTCTCATCATCGCCCACCAAACCACCCCAACCCAACCCGGAGGCCACGATTTGCCCTCCATTTCCAGTGGTGGGGGGGTCGGGGAACCTCGCCAAAAACACGTGGACCCCCCCCCCCCCCAACCCGAAATTCGGGTCAAATTCGGGTCTTCGGGTTGGGCTGGGGTGGTTTGGTAGGTGGTCATCTTATGTGACCGGCGCCGACGCCAACCCGACCAAAAAGCATTGAGATGGAAGAGAGAGAGGAGGCCCAAAAGTCGACCCCTGAGGCGCTCCTATTCTAGCTCCTCCCCACCATCCATCCTTTTTCTCCTTTTTCTCCTTCTCGGTTCTCCCATCCCGTTGATCTCCTTTTCCCTCCCGAGGTGGTACGGAGGAAAACAGGAAGGCGAAGGGGGGGGGGAGGAGGAGGAGGAGGAGGACGCGGAGAGCAGACGACGACGAGAATCGATATCCCCCGGCTGCAGGACGCACGAGCAATCGCAGCTGTCAGCTTGCACGCACGTCTATTAATATGTCCGCGGTGGGCCCCGTGCCGAGGCGTGCGCAAACAATGTGGTATACGCAGGCGCTGTGGTGTACGCGGGAGCTGTTGTGGTTCGCGCAGGTGCCGTGTATACGGAAGCAGTGTGGTGTTGACAGTGCTGCGGCCCACAGTAGCGCTATGTGATTATTATTGGGAATAGTAACCGTGAGAGTAGTAGTAGTAGTAGTAGTAGTAGTAGTAGTAGTAGTAGTAGTAGTAGTAGTAGTAGTAGTAGTGGTGGTGGTGGTAGTAGCAGTAGTAGTAGTAGTAGTAGTCGTAGTCGTAGTCGTAGTAATAGTAGTAATAGTAGTAATAGTAGTAGTAGTAGTAGTAGTAGTAGTAGTAGTAGCCGTAGTAGTAGTAGTAGTAGTAGTAGTAGTAGTAGTAGTAGTAGTAGTAGTAGTAGTAGTAGTAGTAGTAGTAGTAGTAGTAGGTAGTAGTGGTAGTGGTAGTAGTAGTGGTAGTGGTAGTGGTAGTGGTAGTGGTGGTAGTGGTAGTGGTGTAGTGGTAGTGGTAGTAGTGGTAGTGGTAGGTAGTGGTAGTGGTAGTGGTAGTGGTAGTGGTAGTGTAGTGGTAGTGGTAGTGGTAGTGGTAGTGGTAGTAGTGGTAGTAGTAGTAGTAGTAGTAGTAGTAGTCGTAGTCGTAGTCGTAGTAGGTAGTAGTAGTAGTAGTAGTAGTAGTAGTAGTAGTAGTAGTAGTAGTAGTGGTAGTGGTAGTAGTGGTAGTAGTAGTAGTAGTGGTAGTAGTAGTAGTAGTAGTAGTAGTAGTAGTAGTGGTAGAGTCGTAGTAGTACGAGTAGTAGTACTAGTAGTAGTAGTAGTAGTAGTAGTAGTAGCAGCAGTAGTAGTAATAGTAGTAGTAGTAGTAGTAGTAGTAGTAGTAGTAGTCGTATATGCAAAATAGTATTGGTTACGAACACTACTACTATTACTAAGTACTACTACCACGAACCATTATTGTACTTACGACCACCGCTGCAGCTACTGAGTATCAGTATCAAGTAGTACTACTAAACGTTACTAGTACTACTGCTATTTATTAGTAGTGCGACGATTAAGTACGACTAGTACTAAGGAGGGGTACCCCGAAGTACTAATAGTAATAACAAGTTCCAGTACTATTACTACTAGCTAATGGCAGTTGTTCTTGACCCCATTCAGACTCATAATATACAAACGATTAGCAGGAAACATAGTTTTAGTACCGACGCGCATATCGCTATTGTTACCACAGTACTATTTCTATCACCGAAATTATTGAAAGTTGTATTAACGCACTTATGAAACCAAAGACAAAAAGACGATTGTATTAAAGAACAAACCGAACTGCACCAGACAGCGCGCGGGTACCTGGTGCACCCGCTCTGCGTTAAATATAATTCACAACAGTGATATGTTCGTGCGAGAAGTATATTGTTTTTGAAGATCTGGCGAGCAAGTTGTAAACCGACTCTGTCACTTCAGAGACGAAATATGTTTCTCTTAAAAGGAAATAACATGTGAACTCGCTGGCGTCCAAATCATTATGGCTCAAGTGTATTGCGCGCTGCTTGCCGCTCGCTGCCGAAACGCCAGATACACGCATATTGTTATTGTTTCCGCAGTACTACTTCTATCACCGAAATGATTGAAAATCGTATTAACGCACTTATGAATCCAAAGACAAAGGGACGATTGTATTAAAGAACGAACCGAACTGCACCAGATAACGCGCCGGTTTCTGGTGTACCCGCTTTCAATACTTTAAATATTTACAACCACCCGGGCAATAATTTATTCTGTTTCATGAAACCAGCATCTTCTCGAAGAGAGGCGAGTTTCAGTTTTTTTTATTACTTGAATCATTTCATTTAAGTATTCTTTTCATTATTTAAATGTTTAATATATATATATATATATATTAAATATGGTTATGTGTATATATATCTATAGATATATTCAGTGAGCGGTTTGAATAAGGAACACTTACTTTTCAAAAGGGGCTCGGTCGTTCCTTCGGCTTCCATGCGTAATTTACAGTTCCTTATGCGTTATTTGTTATTATCGTTCCTTATGCGTTATTCCTTGGGATAAAAAAGTGGCTTCGTTCCTTACTTATCGTTCCTTAGGTCAGGCCGATCACTGTATATCATAGCATGAGCTTTCAGAACTACTCGCCAAACACTCCCCCCCCCAGAGGCTCGTCAACTCCTCCGGCTCCGCTGCCGCTCTGGCTCGCGCGCGGGCGCGGAGGGCCCCCGTGGCCACGGACACCTCCGGCCGCCCCGCTGGCCGCGCCTGGGCCCCCGCGGCAGGCAGGGCGGCGAGACCTGCCGGAGAAGGCGAAGGTGCCCCCACCTCGACCCCCTCGCCCGTTGCCCCGTCTTCGGGCCTCCCCGGAGGCCCTCGTCTTACAGAAGGGGCGTTGACTTGAGGAACCCTAAATAACGAACGAGGCCCCTTTTCTCCAGAAGTTGAATTTCGATTTCCCTCCCTAGGCAAGCTGTGAAACACTCAAGGAACACGGAGCCGCTCCCCAACGAAAAAGGTTCCTTTTTCAGGACCCCTGCTGTACCAGCCTGGAACATGTCCCTATCCCTATGTTGGGCACCTTCTCATCACGATGCCAATATCAGGGATTCTCTTATGTTTTTAGGGCGGATCCCTGAGATTGTCATCGCCTTTTGGCTTGTCGATCTTAGGGATAGGGATGCGTTCGAGGCCGGTAATCGTCGCCGCCGCTGGACTTAACTCGAGACCCTGGTCAGAGCGCACCCCGGGAGAGGTCCGCAGTGCCGGCACCTTTTGCTTCCCCCCATCTGCTGTGAGGGCCTGACGGCCAGTAGTACCGCCGACGCGGAACGAGGCGGCGGAGACGACGACGACGCCGGCGACGCTGACGTGGGCCACACTCCTCAGGGATGCCTCCTGGGGTCTCTTCGGAGCGCTCTCGGGGACCTGCGGGGGCAGTTTTGGGGGCTTCTTGGGAGCCGCTTGGGGCCCTCTCGGGGGCCTCCTGGGGCCTCCCGTGGGCCTCCTGTGTGGGATGGGGTCAAGTTAAGTCGGGCCTGCCCCTCTACAGGGGGAGTATCCAAGAATGGTCAACAAATAGTGGGGGGACTATTGTTTGAGCATTTTTTGACCATTCGGGAGTATGTTTTGAGTATTTCTTCTCTTTCGTGGAACATCCCCCTGTAGGGGGACGCGCCCGACTTCAGGGCAGAGCGACGACATCTGCACGCACCCACCGCCCGCGGCGGCCCAGGGGCTCCGTCCTCGAGGTCGCGGATATGGACATGTGCTTCGCCCACGACAGGTGGCGCTTCTCTTAGGTCGGGCGTGTCCCTCTATAGGTGGATATTAAAAACAGTCAAAGAATAGTCAGGGGACGATGTGTTAAATATAGTTCCCCATATCCTAAGATGGGGTTCTTGTTCCCCATCTCCTAAGATGGGGTTCTTGTTATTATTCTGACGCCTCCTACTCCTCATCCTCCTCCTTCTCCTCCCCCCTCATCCTCATACCCAGACTTACTCATACACAGACTGACTCACACTCAGACTTACTCATACCCGGACTTCCTCACACACAAAATTTCCCATTTTCAGACCTACTCATACTCAGACCTACTCATACTCAGACTTACTCATGCTGAGTCTCACTCGTACCCAGACTTACTCATACTCAGGCCTTCTCATTGTCTGACTTACTCTACACACAGCAGATTGTGAGGATGTCTCAGGCTGGGCGCTGGTTTCAGCACCCCTAGGGGGAGCCGCCGAGGGGTATGACACGGTCCCGTTCGCGGCCGTTGTGTGGGGATGTCTCAAGCGGTTTGCATGTCTTCTGTCCCAACATCCTTCGCTTTCGGAGCAGATTTGGAGGATGTCTCGAGCGAGGCGCTCATTTTCACGCCCCTAAGGGGAGCCGCCGAGGGGTATGACACGGTCCCGTTCGCGGCCGTTTTGTAGGGATGTCTCAAGCGGTTTGTTTGTTCTCTGCCCCAACATCCTTTGCTTTCGGAGCAGATTTGGAGGATGTCTCGAGCGAGGCGCTCATTTTCACGCCCCTAAGGGGAGCCGCCGAGGGGTATGACACGGTCCCGTTCGCAGCCGTGTTGTGGGGATGTCTCAAGCGGTTTGCTTGGTTTCTGTCCCAACATCCTTTATTTTCGGAGCAGATTTGGAGGATGTCTCGAGCGAGGCGCTCATTTTCACGCCTCTGCGGGGAGCCGCCGAGTGGTATGACACGGTCCCGTTCGCGGCCGTGTTGTGGGGATGTCTCAAGCGGTTTGCTTGTTCTCTGCCCCAACATCTTGTGTTTTCGGAGCAGATTTGGAGGATGTCTCGAGCGAGGCGCTCATTTCCACCCCCCATGTGGGCCAGATGTTGATGATGTCTCGTTCGGTTTGCCTGCTTTGGTGACCAGATTCGTGGGCACAGGTTCTCCTCAGGATGCCGCAGGATGCTCCAACAGTCTCCCGGAGGCCCCTGGGGACCACATGAGGTCCCAGGAGGCATCAGGAGGCCACAGAAAGACTCAAGAGGCCACAAGATGTCCCAAGAGGCTCCAGGAGGCCCCAGGAAGCTCCAGGAGGCCTCGGGAAGCCACAGGAGGCCACGGGAGGCCACAGGCAGCGCCAGGAGACTTCGGAAGACAACAGGAGGCCCCGAGAGGTCCCAGGAGCAGGAGGCCTCAGAAGGCAACAGGAGTGGCTCCAATCCCATGTGTTTTACGTATGCTCCTATAGATTGGGCCGCACCTGGAGCACGAATCCTTGACGTGATACGTATGTTTCTATAGCTGGTCCTTCCCTTGTGAACACAATCCTAAATGGTTTACTTATGTTCCTATATGTTGGGCCTCTCCTGGGGCACGAGTCCTTGGTGCTTTACGTGTGTTCCTATAGATTGCCCTTCTCCTGCGGCTCCAATCCGCAAAGTTTTATGTACGTCGGTTGCTATAGATTGGGCCTCTCCTGGGGCACGAAGCCTCCCTGGGAGGTTCCAGGAGGCACCAAGAGGCTCCTGAAGCCCCAGGAAGCCCCCGTAGGTTTCAGGAGGCCCCAGGAGGCCCCAAGCTCATGTGCAGAGACGCGCTCGTACTACTGAGGCTCATTCACACTCCAATTCGTTCGCAGTTAGATTCATGACCAGATCGCCACAACTGAAGCCCGTTTAGATTCGAAAGCTCTTGCGCCTAGACATTCACGGCGGACAGGTCCATGCGAATATATGCACATATGGGGAGCTCCACACAGTGAATGATTATTATTTGGACGCCTCCTACTCCTTCTCCCTCTTCTCAATCTCCTCCTCTTCATACCCAGGCTTACTCACACTCAGATTTATTCATAACCAGACTTAGTCAGGCACAAACTTACTCATACTCAGACCTACTCATACTCAGACCTACTCCTACTCAGAGGTACTCATGCTGAGACTCACTCATGCCCATACTAACTAAAAGCCAGACTTGTTCCCAGACGTGCTCATACTCAGACCTGCTCGTACTCAGACCTTCTCATTGTCTGATTTATTCCACACGCACACAGCAGACTGTGAGGATGTCTCAGGCGGGGCGCTGCCTTCAGCCACCCGAAGGGGAGCCGCCACGGGTGTTTTCACGGTCCCGTTCGCGGCCGTTTTGTGGGGATGTCTCAAGCGGTTTGCCTGTTTTCTGTCCCAACATCTTTGGCCAGCCTAGCATATTGTGAGGATGTCTCAGGCGGGGCGCTGGTTTCAGCATCTCTAAGGGGGGCCGCCAGGGTTGTTTTCAGGGTCCCGTTCGCGGCCGTGTTGTGGGGATGTCTCAAGCGGTTTGCTTGTTCTCTGCCCCAACAGCCTTCGTTTGGAGAGCAGATTGTGAGGATATCAGGCGGGGCGCTTGCTTCAGCATCCCTACAGGGAGCCGCCAGGGGTGTTTTCACGGTCCCGTTCGCGGCCGTTTTGTGGGGATGTCTCAAGCGGTTTGCAAGCATCCTTCGCTTGGATAGCAGATTGTGAGGATGTCTCAGGCGGGGCGCTGGTTTCAACACCCCTAAAGCGAGCCGCCGATGGGTATGACACGGTCCCGTTCGCGGCCGTGTTGTGGGGATGTCTCACGCGGTTTGCCTGTTTTCTACCGCGACATCCTTCGCTTGGAGAGCAGATTGTGAGGATGTCTCAGGCGGGGCGCTGGTTTCAACACCCCTAAGGGGAGCCGCCGGGGGGTATGACACGGTCCCGTTCGCGGCCGTGTTGTGGGGATGTCTCAAGCGGTTTGCCGGTATTTTGTCCCAACATCCTCCGTTTGGAGAGCAGATTGTGAGGATGTCTCAGGCGGGGCGCTTGCTTCAGCACCCCGGAGGGGAGCCGCCGAAAGGTATGACACGGTCCCGTTCGCGGCCGTGTTGTGGGGATGTCTCAAGCGGTTTGCTTGTATTTTGTCCCAACATCCTTCGCTGGGAGAGCAGATTGTGAGGATGTCTCAGGCGGGGCGCTGGTTTCAACACCCGTAAGGGGAGGGAGCCGCCGAGGGGTATGACACGGTCCCGTTCGCGGCCGTTTTGTGGGGATGTCTCGAGCGGTTTGCTTGTTTTCTGCCCCAGCACCCTTCGCTTGGAGAGCAGATCGTGAGGATGTCTCAGGCGGGGCGCTGAAAGTCTCCCAAGTCTCCCGAGTCTGTCAGGTCCCCTAAGTCGCCCAAGCCTCCCAAACTTCCCAAGCTTACCAAGTCTCCCAAGTGTCCCATGTCTCCCATGCCCCCCCAGTCAGTGGAGCCGCGCCGCACGGCGCATCGGCTAAACAGCACAAGGCTAATTACAACAGTTCTAACGCACAGCCTCTCAGAGAACATACGCCTGGGCAACGCTTCTCCACCGAGCCCTGCTAAAATCCTCCACCCCCCCAAGTTTCTAAAATCCTCCCGGTCCCGCAAGTCCACCACGCCTTCCATGTCTCCCAACAGGAATGCCAAGTCTCCTAAGCCTGTCAAGTCTCCCGAGGCGACCAACTCTCCCAGCTTTCCCATGCCGCCCAAGTCTGCCATGTCTCCCAAGGTTCGCAAGCCTCCCAAGTTTCCCGAGTCTCCCGAGTGCCCCATGTCTTCCAAGTCTCCCAAAGTTCCCAAGGCTCCCAAGGCCCCCAAGTCTACTACGTCTCCCAAGTCTCCCACGTCGGCCAAACCTCCCACGTCATCGACATGACCTATGAGGAGGAGGAACGAAGAGGACTGGCGCAGATTCAGTCGTATCCAAACCTCACGTTCCGTCATACTCACGCACACTGGTGTTTAACCGCCTTCGTCGGACCTGTCGACCACGTGGACGCGCTCTTATAGTCAGGCATCCATAGAGACACGTTCACCATGGCATAACATAAAACATGATATGCACATATGGGGAGCTCCGCGCAATGAGTAATTTTTGAGTACTCGGAGGGGTAATGTTTGGAGTATTTTTCATTTTTCGCCGAGACCCCCCCCTCCATGGGGGACAGGCCCGACATCACGCTTCTGCCCATGGCAACCCCGAAGGCATTCGACCCTTCGGCGGCTGAGGCGCCAGATGGTTCCCACGCGGCCAGGTCACGAGACCTCCCCACCAGGCTGCGGTGCTCAGCGGGACGTTCTACGAGCCGCAGCACGGCATCCGACGGGCTTGAGGCTCGACCACGTTCGCCTCGCGCAGGATCCCGACGGTGCGGTCACGACTGAGCGCGCGCCGCCCCCCCCCCTGCATTCACGAAGTCCTGGACGTCGGATGCCCAGCCGCAGGTTTACCTGTCAGCTCCCCGTCGTCGTTTTTCTGGACTTCACAGTGTTCATGTTGCACAGGTCCTCTGCACAGGCCCATGTTGTACACTTTGTGGAGCTGCTCCACTGCATTTGGCCCTCTACACAGGCCACGATCGAGCTGCACCATTTTGTGCACAGTCAACCGTATTAGTTTGGCCAGGCTAGTTCGGCACGGTAGGGTTGACCAGGACCTTCGACGGCAGGTGGCGGCCTTTGCTGCCTTTGCTGCGTCAAGGCTGCGATCCTCTGTTCATATTCGGATCCGGGATGCTATGTCTGGCGCTGTGAGCTCGCACATGCCAGATCGGCCTGCACGATGGTCGTAGTGTGTGCTGTCTGTCGGACCGACGACACGTCGTTTTGACGCTTGCCCTCACGTTGCGCCATGTCCGAATCCAGCTCACATGTTCGATTCCAGATCCGTCCGTGACGGGTCGGACCTTTCCCGAGATACCCCGCAGAAGGATGCACGCGAGGCGGAGGAGGCGGATGGTGAGGCGACGATGAGGAGGACCAGGAGCAGGAGCAGGAGGGGAAGGAGGATGAGAAAAGGAGGGACGGAGGCGAAAGAGGGGCGGAGCGTTCTGCTAGAACCAGCACGCAGAGCAACCATCACGAAACCAGACATTGGACCCCTGGACGCGAGGGATCATAAGATTAGGAACCGACCGCCCCCCAAAACAAGAAGAGGCAAAAGCGTGGGCGTGAATCCGCAGCACTGCCACCGCAGCTTCTGATACCACGCCTGGAAGGGAGGCCCTTCCCGAGTCGCGCCAACGACGCGTGCTGTGATTTGACAGGGTCGTGGATTCCAATCTACTGGGTCTCGCACAAGTTTCGGAGAAGCGCGGGATTCGCAGAGTAGGAGCACCTGCCACAGGACGCGCAGGACCAGTGCACACCCCTGACCCACAGATCGTGGAAGCGGTGGGTATCATTAGGTGTTTTGGCGGGTGGCAATCGGGGGTGACCCAAATGGGTCGGAGGTGTATCGACCTCCTACCCTGACGTGTCGATTAAGGAATTGGCCGTTTTCGGTTCGCGAGAGGGCGTCGCGGCCGTCATTTTTGCGGGTCCAGGTCCGTCGGTTTCGGTGCCAGGTCGTTTCCACTAAGGGTAGGTGTACTAAAGGGAGGTTTGTCCACCGCCGAGTCGGGCGTGTCCCCCTACAGGGGGATTTTCGACGAGAAGTATAACATATTCAAAAAGTATTCCCAAATGGTCAACATACTCGATATAACATACTCCATACATATTCCAAACATGCTCATCATGATTTGTTGTTTTGAATCTCCGAGGGGGGGGTGAAGAAAATTACCCTACAGTCGGGGCGCTGAAGAAGGACCCCTTTTTGTTTGGGAGGGGCTCCGTGTTCCTTCGCTGTGTTACAGTGCTCCTCGGGTTTTCCCGAGGTTTTCCACGTGAACTCGGAGTTTAACTTATGGGAAAAAGGGGCCTCGTTCCTCATTTCGGGTTCCTTGGGTCAACCCCTCAATTGTAAGAGGAGCCCTTTGGGGCCAAGGGCCCCATAAGGTGGCCCTCTCGGGCCCTTCTCTTCACCCCCCACTTGGGCCACCCCCCATTACCGCCCACTCTGTGGAAAAACACACACACACACACTGTGGGAAAACACACAGTCTGTGGGAAAAAAACACACACAGTGTGTGCGTTTTTCCCACAGTGTGTGTGTGTTTCCCACAGTGTTTTTTTTCTTCCCACAGACTCTTCACCCCCCACTTGGGCCACCCCCCATTACCGCCCACTCGAGTTGTGACATGTGGCCCCCGTTCGATGGAGGGCGGTTGCTTGGACAACAGGAACTTTAAACGTACGCTCGCCGCTCCAAAGCGGGTTGATGGATTTCGGTTGCTTAGGGATCGCAGGATGGTTGATTCAGTACAGCTTGCATTGCCCTGCATGTGCAGCAGAAGGAAAGACGCATGTACAACGTCAGGAAAAAAACACGCCCACTCGAGCAGTTCGATCATGCACCCCTTGTTGCACGCAGCCATCCAGCTTTCGCGCCGAAGACCGCGGGAAACTGCCAAAGGCCGCCGAAGACCGCGGAAGGCTGCCCGGAGATCGTGGAAGACTGCTGGAGACGGCCAAGGAGCAATGTGTGACAAGGGTCGGCGGCGAGCGAGGGGGGGGAAGTGAGAAGGGGCGGGCCTGCTCAGAAGGCTCGGAAGTCCACCGGCCTTCTGAGAAGTGCTCTGAGCCTTCCCCGAAGACAGGCAAAAATAGGGCCGGACGAAAGGTGGGGATTGGGAAAGGAGGGGTTACGAAATTTGCTGCATGTAGCTGGTTTCGTGAGGGGTTACGAAATCTTCTGCATGCAGCTGGTTTCTGCCCCACCGAGGGGCCCATTCCTCGATACATGGGCGCCTCCCGGCGCCGGGAGGCGCTGGGAAAATCAGCTACGTGAGCTGATTCTCACCCCCCCCCTTTGCTATCCCCCCCTTTCGCCCGGTCAGAACAAACTTCTCAGAAGGCACGAGGGCTTCTGAGAAGCCCCGCCGCCTTCTGAGAAGGCCTTTTCCTTCGCACTTCCCCCCCCTCGCTCGCTGCGCCGGGCGCGCTAGCACCAGTGGTTCGCGGGAGCCCGAGAGACGACTCCGAGAGCGAAGAAGCTCGGGGTCTCCTCCCTCCGCCCCCCCTTCCCCCGTGAGGAGGAGGAATAGGAATAGGAATAGGAATAGGAACCAATGGCGCTGCCAATCCCGAACAGACCACACTACTGAGAAGACCTTCGCTGCCGCCGTGCTTGGTCGGCCTTGCTTAGGACTTTGGGGGTTAGCCCACTCTGAATGCGATCTAAATATTCACGCCCCGTGCGTGTGGGGGGGCCACAGGGTTTGCCGAGGGACCGCAGCTGCTTATCAGCTATGCCCCCGCAATGCCCACAAAACCAAACCATCAAAACAGTGTGATAATTAATGAGGTGGGAAGGGTGCAGCCAGCCCCCCGCAACATGGATACGGGCTCCTCGGCCAGACGGGGCCATCAAGGTACCGTCAACATTGTAGAGGGCGGGGCAATCGGTCTTCCACCATTCTGACGCAGTGGCCAGCGTGGCTGACCCGAAGCATTTAATACACTTACGTTTGCACTCCGTGAGCCTGTGAGCCGACAAGAGCGGAGTGAGAGCAGCAGCAGCAGCGGGGCGGGGCGGGGGGGAAGGGGGAGGCGGGACCCCCTCTCTTTTCCTCTCCCTCGCCTCCAGAGCAGCCTTCTTCTCAGTCTCAAAACAATCGAGGGTAGCCCTTAGGAGCCTCATCCTAATTTGAAAGGCCTTCTTCTCAATTACTGAAATATCATGCCTAACACTCTGGGGTACCCTACACATGTTCGCTGCCGTGTCAGCAAGCTCATCAGCAACCGTGTTCGCCAGCACTAAACTACTTAAGGCGCGTCCCTCGACAATATCAGTACTTTCCTGATGGCTGTGGGTGAACAAAACTGTGACATCACTAAACTGCCTATTACACATGAGCTCTGCAATTTTGGCCCACACATCTGCATCAGGCCCTCGGGGGTTGAGGTAATCCTGACAATGCCAACTCTCCGCCAGGGGTTGGAAATCGGTGATATACAACACATGCCCTCGTGTTGTGTGCAAGGCGAGGAGGAACGCACGCAACTCACCTCGGGCAACTACCTGCCTGTGCCCACTTAGGGGTCCAATGATCGAAGCTTCGACGGCGAGGGGGGTGAGAGAAGAAAACTTGGCGATCGCAACTCCTACTCGGCGGAGCCTCGGCCACCTCGAGTCGGGTCCGCCCGAGGCATCACCCGCAACCAGAACAGGACACTCGCGTGAGCCAGTGCCGAGGCACCCACCTTCAACCTCATTCACGCCCGTCGCCGTCCAGGAATCACAACCTACGGGCTCTGGGACCTTTGTCCAGAAAGCTGGGATAAGGCCCCTGAGCCAAAAAGCTTCAGCTGCTTCAAGCTGGGTGGTGGCCTGAAAAAACTAGGTCGTCAGAGTTTTCAAAGGCTTTGGACCCTGAGTTTTTACAGCAGTCCCAGTACCTGTGAAACAACGTTTCGGGCTTCAAGCGGCACCGATCGCACAAATCGTCACCTGTGAAGCTACGTATATTATCTTTCTTCCTAGTCTTAGGCCAGCAGCCTGCGGTTGCTATCATAAGCATTGTCTCAGTCAAACGCTTACCGTTGTGGGAGGCGGCGAGTTGGCGCATCAAGGCACGATATGAGTCATTGTCTACTCCGTTTTCCAGCCCTCCTCCCGTGAACTGCGTGCTGGCCTGCTTCCAGACCTGGCTCCTCGCCGCTGCAGCAATGTCCAGCAACAGGTGCTGGTGTTGGTCGATGTGGGGGTTGCCCGTGTAGCCGCTGTCTGGGAAGATCCACTCCTCGTATGTGTCCTCGCCCGTGCTGTAGCTCCACTGAGACGGCGACACAGGTTCCCACCCTAGGCGTAAAAGGTTGGGCACCATTGCTGACACTGGGCCTCGTACGAGGCGAACTTGGTCAGAATGTTTGGCTGCCTGCAACTGCTGAACTATCTTCGGCCAAACCTTCCTGACGCCATCTCGTATATGAGGGTGATCTCGCCACGTCTTCAGCCAGAGGTCAGCCCCTTGAACCACCAGGGCTATAGCAGGATCTGCATTGGGCATCCTGAGGTCCAATACTGTTGTCAAGCAGCGGCCACGATTGCCATTGCTACACGATTGTGCAAGTCTTCGGCGTACAAGTTTCAGCTGTTCTCCATATACTCCATGGACCTGATGTCCGTACAATCCTGCTGGCACAGCCTCTCCTCCCGTGAGGAGGAGGAGAAGGAGGAGGAGGAGCAGGACGAGGAGGAGGAGGAGGAGCAGGAGGAGCAGGAGCAGGAGCAGGAGGAGGAGGAGCAGGAGCGGGGGCAGGAGGAGGAGGAGGAGGAGGAGGAGCAGGAGGAGGAGGAGCAGGAAACGGAGGAGGAGGAGGAGGAGGAGCAGGAAGAGGAGGAGGAGGAGGATCAGGAGGAGGAGGTGGTGAAAGGGCACGAAGAGCGGGAGGGCCCGCTGTGGCCCTGCGCCTGGCCGCGGAAGGCTCGGTGCACGATGCGGGCGTCGCCAGAGGCGCCCTCCGCTCCCAAGGTGCCCCCAGGATTTCGGGGGGGGGGCCCACGAGGCGCCATCAGGGCAGCCCCCACGAGGCGGACAGCTCGCTGCAGCGCTTGGCTCCTCCTCCTCCTGCTGCTGCTCCTCCTCCTGCTCCTCCTCCTCCTCCTCCTGCTTCTCCTCCTCCTCCTTATCCTGCTCCTTCTCCTCTTCCTCCTGCTCCTCCTCCTCCGCCTCCTCCTCCTGCTCCTCCTCCTCCGCCTCCTCCTCCTGCTCCTCCTGATCCCGCTCCTCCTTCTCCTGCTTCTCCTCCTCATCATCCTCATCCTGCTCCTTCTCCTGTTCCTCCTGCTCCTCCTCCTCCTCGTGCTCCTAGTCGGCTTTGGGGGCTCAGGCACTTTCAGAACCGACGGAGAGATGATTTTATTGAGCCTCTCTCACACGATTACCGCCTCGCACTCGCACGGGCCAGAGAGGGAGCCAGGGGGGCATGCCAGAGAGATGGCGGTTGTTATGTTCTCGGTATATTGATGAAATTTGTGTTCTACAATCCGTTAGCAGCGAAAACCACGGACTGGCTTGAAGAAATTAGCAGTGCACTACGAGAGTGGAATGTGCCTATGCTGACAGGGGCGCATCAGTGGGCAGGGCCTGAGCAGATGAGGGAGACGAACCATTGATACCATCTGGCACTGCAGTTCGGGGCAACGTAGGAAACAGTATCACCAATTCGTGCGGCACTACGTTCCTGGTGTCCAACGATACGATGAAATACACATTCTCCACACGCAGTACGTACCACCTGCACAGCTGCAAGGAAGCGCTGCAGGGGCAAGGCTGCGTACGAAAGCCCACGACGTTAATTTTCGCGACGTGCTTGCCGCCAGCGTTCATACAGCTTAAAGGCAGGTTGCCAATACTTTAATTGCGTGTTTTGATGTTCGTTGCGCGAACCGTGCTTGGCAGGGCCATGACAATAATTGGGCGCCTCAGTTCCAAGGCGCCGCAGGGTTTTGTTTTAGTGGCGATTGTCAAGCTCGCTAGAATGGGGCGGACAGGGATTTGTCCGATACCCTTGTTTTGAACGTCTGCGTGTTTTCTGTGTTGCGTTGCTGTGACGTGCGTGTGTTTGTCTCCGTACAGGCACCCGTTGGCTCA